TGAACTACTGCTCGGTCCGTGTCTTGACCATGGTCCCTCTTTGGGGATCCCTGCTTTATGTCATTTATCGAGGCAAAGATCACTTTAGTGGTCCACTGCAAGCTTTTTACAATAACATTTGATCATAAAATCTGTATTTGCATCTTATGAAGATATCTAAAGCTGATGTCATACTAGCAATATACTGCTGCTTCAGCCAGTGAGGGAGCCACGCTACAGGAAACATAGGTTGACCCTTAGTGATTCTGGTGCTGTCAAGTTGTTGCCAACGACTGCTTTGCTGCTGCGACACGGGCCCTAAGGCTGCATTCATAAGGTTGAATTTTTGTGTGTTCCGGAATTCCTGTGGTAAGACCCTACGGATTCTGGTGGCAGGAATCCCAGGTGCCTCTTTGTTGATGGCAGGTTGACAGCAGCTGCATCTGTCAGCGGCAGTCTACATGTATGTAATCATTCCATATATAGAATTACATGTGGTTCCAGATAGATGATTGTCCCTGGATGCAGCATAGATGCACCCAAGGACAATCATTTATCCTGAACCGCATGAAACACTTGTGATTTTTTTTTCTTTGTGTTTTTCATTGCTATCAATCAAATTCCAATTAATGTATGTCAGTGTTTGCATGAAGACACAGGTTGATGCTCATCACCGTGTGTAATGACACCCGTTGACATTCAATACAAAGCACATTGCATTGTGCATCAATGTGTCATGTTTTTTGTGTATGCATTTTCCCTGATTTTGTTGGGGAAAAGAATTGGGGTAAGAAACAAATAGGTGTGACTAGGCCCAAAGTAAACTCGTCATGACAGGATTATGGGGGCTGGCATTGTAAGTCTTCCTAAAAATGCCATTTTACTGAGCTGTTCTTTTAAAATGGATTCAATTTTTCTTTTTAGCTTGCTACTGTTTGTGACTTAGTCTATTTGACATTTTACGGTAGTTAATGTAATGTTAAGTGAGCTTTGAAAGAGTATTGCATTACCTGAAATAAAGCTCTTGAGCACCATCTGTGTTGTAATTATGCTTGTATGAAATAAATTGTTTCATACGCTCATTACATGTTACTTTGGACTTTGACTTGGAAGGTGGTTTGAGGTGCTAAGGGGACAATCGGCTGTGTTCAGCTCACCATATTACTCTATATGCTGTATTTACCCCAAGTGTGGTGGCTAACAATAGATTCTGTTGGCATAACCATAGCAGTCGCTTTAGTTTTGTAGATTATATGTACAGATTTTATATCCATTTTGTGCTTTTTCATCCAGCTAGTAGCAGCAGGACTCTGCAATGCTGTAATCTACTCTCGTTCTACATTTTCATTGCTTTCATTAAAACAGGAAGGTCACCGCTAAGATCTTTTGTTCTTTGGACTCGCACTGTACTAAAATGTACTCTTTATACGAGCGGACTTTACTCAGGAATACATGTGTGGGTCACTTAGACACGCACAGTAACTCTTTCACATTTAAAGTTATCCAGGTGCCATTAAAGGAGAAATAAAAGTTTGATTTCATGGAAAGAATGCATTGATATTTCCTCTAGAGATATTTCTAAAATTCAGAATTGGAGGCAATGTTTCCCTTCCATTTTTATTTTTAATTTTACACCATGAAAGTGTGTGTGATGCAGATTTTATAGAATAGAAAACTGGGAAATCTCTCCCAAAATATCTCCATTTCCCTGAAAAATGTCAGCTTTATGCTGAAATAATTTGAGCCAAGAAATTGAAACAATCCTTTCATGGGGCATGAAGTCTGCTTGATGGAAACCTGACCGAAAATTGAGTGGGGAATGCATAATCACAGCTGCTATGGTGTACTTGGAGTTTATCCGAATAATTAAATGTTGTATGTAATAAAATCTTCATTGCAGGGTCAGGATGAAATGCACTGCAATCATTAAACAGCTTGAAATGGCAAATGCTAAAATAGTAACATTTTCTTTTTCTTTATGCTGCAAGTGGAATTGCAGATTCTTATTTATGTTCGGTCACCAGGACAGGAAGGAAACATACATTTTTCCCAATAGAGAATAAGCAATAATCACCTGACAGAGGTTCTAACCCCTTACCTTCTCTTTAAATCTTAAAATAGTTTGGTGTTTTATGTATGCCAAAAAAAATCAATATGCTAGAAGAACATATTCAACTTCTGTTCAAGGAATATATATAGGTTTTACAATATTGGTTTTAGATAATCATGTAAAAAGATCTAAGCCCTTCTGTTTTATAGCTTATAGTTGTCTACGCAGCAACATCAGCCATATTTGCTCATTACATATGCAGGCTCTGCTTCCTGCTTTGCAGTGTTTCATGATGGCTGTCTTTATTACACCTTCTCATTTTTAACCCTTAGTTGGTTAATAGAAAACAGTGCAGTCCCTATGTTGCTGATATATATGGCTAACAGACGCTTGAAGACAAAGAATAACAACCCTAGATGCCCAGATCAAATTCTAATTCTATGGGGTTAATTTAATAAAGGAAAATAGGCTGTTCCCTTTGCAAGGGAGTTTTCCCCCTTAGTGAATAAGTTGAAGATCTGCTGACTTCCGTCATCCAATCATGTGCAAGCAAAAAAATAGTTTTTAAAAATGTTTTGTTCAATTGGGTATTCTTTGCAAAGCGGATTATCACCACATTCACTAAGCTAATATTCCCTTGCATTGAACAGCCTATTTGCCTTTAGTAAATCAACCCCTATAATGGACTTGAGTTAAAGGGTTAATAAACCCTCAGTTTTTTTTGCATATAGCTACTGTTAGCAAGCAGTAGATATATACATAAACATAGGGCGCCCGCAGTTTAGACACCGTGGGACAGGAAGTGCAAGCTAAAATTCACTTTCCCAAATCCGTAACAATCAGTCGACTTTGGATTGTCATTGGTTGCACAGGATTGCACTTTATTGATTATTGACTTCATTTGGTTGTACCGCTGTCTTTGGTGGGTGTGATCAGGTGTTGAGAATTAAGGTGCCCATACACCTTACGATTATCGGACGAAACTTTTCGTCCGATCGAACCGTCGTACGATTTTCGTACGACGGCCCCATCCTGCCCCGATTATCGCAAGGTTCAATCAGCGGTAGTTTAAAAAAAAAACCTGGACGACTTGCGGTAATTAACCGCAATTATTTGCGTTTGCGCATGCGCAGTGTTAATTGTACGACTTTTGACGGACGGGAACGCCACCAACCATGCGAACATCGTACGATCGACCAAAGTTTTCAAACATGCTTGACCGTCAAAAGTCACAGTACTATCGGTTGGGCACTCTATTCACACGTTACGATTGTCGTACGAAAAGTCGATCGCATACGATTAATTGTACGATAATCGTAAGGTGTATGGGCACCTTAAGTCTTAACATGGAAGCTCTCTTCTAGGTATTTATAGGCAGCATCATAATGATTCTGTGCATGTTTAACCACACATTTTCATCCAGATTGTTGTTGTCTGATAAGTATAGATCTGTCTAACCCAGGGGTCCTTAAACTTTTTAAACAGGGGGCCAGTTCACTGTCCCTCAGATATTGTTGGGGGCCGGATCATAGTTTGAAAAACGGGGGGGGGAGGGAGAGCGTGCCTGCGCTGCCATTGACTTGAATGCACCGCCATGCCCCCTCCGGTCCCAGAACGAAGGTGGAACGTTAGTGAGTGATTGCTGTGCGTTCCAGCAGCTGCCACTCTGGAACGCACCACAATTGGTTTGAAAAAGCCCTTAGAGGGCATATATAAATATTTGTAGCAACTTCTTTAATAAACAAAATTGTTTTTAATACAATTCATTTTTCTTAGCCTGGGACATGTGCAAAGCATGACTTGTTATTTTCTACAGCTCAAATATTTGTTTATTAAAATGAATGGGCTTGTAGACTGCCCTGTCTTGCCCCTTGACAATGCGTGCAGCTTTGGGAGAGGTAGGGAGATGACATCACGTCATCCCAGCTTTTTTTTTCCCCTATTGGCCACCCTCCAGGATCCTGTGCTGGAGTGCACCCAAAGTTGAAGGTGCTCAGCCGCACTGTCGTTACGCTGCTAAAGGAAGACTGGCATTTGATTTTCCAGGCTTCCGTACATCTCGTCCCTCTGCGTGCGCCCTGGGATGAAAGGGCGCAGCCTCACAGGCCTAACACGGAAGCTATCAGGCTTCTGGAACGGCCTGTGTCTCTTCCCCGACACCCAGGCGGGGCCGGTGGAATGCCGATCTCTCCCCGGCGGCGGTTGGCCGATTGATTGCTATATGCTTAGAGTGGCTGGACCTATTTTAAGGTAGGGGCCTGGAGCTGCAGCTCCCTTAGCCCTTATATTAATCCGGCCCTGACTAGGGTTGCCACCATTTCTTCAAGCCAAACCCAAACACTAGCACCTTGCGGCGATTTTTTGGTGCAGTATGCATATATTTTGTACATAAATAACATTGGATGTAATCACAACTTTACAAAAAGTGAAGCCGGCTTCCTAGCCAATCAGGAAGCTGGGAGGCGGGTCATGACGTGCTGCCCAGCTTCCTGTTTGGCTAGGAAGCCAGGCTGCCTACCAACTGAAGCTTGCTTTCTAGCCAATCAAGCCGTCCGGCACGTCCTGACCCGCTTCTCGGGTTTCTGATTGGCTAGGAAGCTGGTTTCACTTGTTCCTAGGCGACTTGGCTTCCTGACCGATCCCCTCCTTTTCAATTGATATTTATTTTGATAATTATTTTTTTGGAGCGTGTTGTGGCCAGGAAATTTAAAAAAACCTAAACTTTTTAGGCCTGTAGTAGAAAACAATTTGTTTTGCATGTAAGGGGAGAATTCCTCCCATTGCAGCTGGGCAGCAACATAAGATCTAGTCTTCTCTGTTTTATTCATATGGGGTGTACACTATAGGCCATGCAAGATCTGATATTTTCTTTATGCCACTGGTTGGGATTGTTGATCTAAGATATATGTAGTATAGTCAATGTAAGTTGCAATTTTACATTGCAGTAATCCTATCTCTTATTTCTCTGCAGCCTGCAGCGGGTCACACAGACTCAAAGACCAGCAGTGGTAACAGCAAGCCCAATATGCTGAGAGGTCGCCCTTCGATACCAACTTCAACAGATGAGCAGCCACATATTGGGAACTATCGTCTCCTTAAAACTATTGGCAAGGGCAACTTTGCAAAAGTTAAGCTAGCACGCCATGTTTTAACTGGAAAAGAGGTGAGAAACTTTACAAGAGGCATGGAATACTTTTCATTTGATTTCTGGCACAGTTTGCATAGGCCGTTGTTTGTGTCTCATCTATGCTTTCTACATTCCTTTTCATAACTTTATTATGTTGTAACTGTATTTGCACAAATCATTTTGTCTTGCACACTTAGTGCTGGACTAGTTTATGTAGAACTTCAGTTGCTTATTAGAGTTACCATGCGTTTACATGTAGTAGTTTCCATTGAAAAATGTATTTCTTGTACATTAAGGGACACAGGATTCAATTATTTTAAAACAATTGGGTTATACTGCTGCCTACAGGAGGAATTGGACACTGGCAAAAAGTGCTTTCCACTCCCCTGTGTACTGTTAGCCGCACAGCGCTCTCCTGGTTCACAGCTGTGTCACAGACTCTGGTATGACGCACTTTGTGAGTAAGAACCTGGCATGTGACTTTTTGGGCAATGTGCTCTGCTTGTAATGCTTTCCAGGACCTTGGGTACAGTTAGCCGCATAGCGCTCTCCAGGTCCAGGAACTTGTTAAGTCTTTGAGGACTCCTTTTATCAAACGTCTTGGGGGACTACCACATTACTGGTACTGTTAAGCACTTCTATTACCCCCTGTTTGCCTCAGTTCCTGCTGCACCCTACAGTGACGGTCACCTTCAGCCTTTGATCCTCTCCTATTTTTACTGGCTGGTTTGTGAGTACTCAAGGTTTTTTCTTAGTGCCTTAAGCCAAGAGAACTATGGGACAACATTTTTTGGCCATAGTTCTCTTCACGGTCACAGGAGGACATATATTAATGTCCTTCGGTGACCCAAAACTAGGCTTAGAGTACAGAGCCGCACCACAGCCAGGATGGATCCCGACAATACTGTTGAGTTCCACCCCGCTGGCTGATTGACAGCTGGCTCTGCCTCTCTAGAGGCAGAGTCAGCTGTGCACACCCTCTTTCCATCCATTCCTCCAGTCAGCGCTGGAGAAACGGAGAGGGGAGGGGGGAATTCCTGCGGGGAGTGGTCACTGACAGTCACTGCTCTGTGCAGGGAGAGGATCAGGAAGTCAGCGATCAGCTGTATGTGTTCCCTGACTTCTTTAATAGAGCTGACCTGTGACAGCTTTAGTGTCTTAGGTCGGCTTAAATTATGGGGATGAGTGCTTTTCACTCGCCCCATGATTCTCCTTTAAGTCGCCTCAGTCTAGCAGTGCAACTTGTCAGAACCTAAGAGGAGCAGCCCTGCTGTATTCGTTCTCTCCAAGTCGTGATCCTATAACCGTTTCATGCCATCCTGCAGTGTCCCTCAATAACCTGACACTGACATCCTGAATATTGGCCCCTACTTTTCTTGGAAGTTCATTAAGAAATACTTATCCCACCGCTCACGTTTCTGGTCTTGCTTATTGGCACTGCTTGTTTTAAAACTGGGGCATGCTGGGAGTGGGTGGTGTTATACCAGGCTGCATCAATGTTTTTATGATTGCCAGTATTCAAATCCTCCTTTTTAAGGCAGCAGTAACCTAATTGTCTCTGAATTCTGTGTCCCTAAATTAACTTCCAAGAAAAGGATTTCATGGAGTACAGTAATCCATTTTTTTCCTCCTAGTAGAATTTTCTCCTGCAATACTTTTTCCAGCTCTTCACTAAAAACTAAATTATAGTCAAAGCAATAACTAAATAAACATGCACTTTGCCAAAGGCCTCTTTCACACAGGCAGTGCCCATTCTAGTCAACAGAGGATCCATGCACAGATCCCCTGCTGATCAGAGCAGTATAAAACAGATGTTGCGATGGAGGAAAAACTGGACTAACCGGACCCATGTTAGGTCTACGGGCAGTTGTATGTAAGCGGATATGTGTCCCTTTACTTCCAATTACTCTGATCCGTCCTGTCCAGTTGTGCCAAACTGACCCTAGACTTGGTGAATCGAGCCGTTTCTCTCCCACACCTCAAACTTGATAAAATCCCACAGTCATTGATAAGTGTTCTTATTTAACCACTTAAAGACCACGGTGTTGACACCCTCTTCCTGCCCAGGCCATTTTTCAGTATTCAGCGCTGTGGTACTTTGACATTTATTCCATTATACAACGCTGTACTGAAATTAATTTTATATAATTTTTGGGGGGCACACATAGGGCTTTCTTTTGGTGGTATTTAATCACCACTGGGATTTTTCTATTTTTTTACTATATAACAAAAAAGTACTGTAAATTTGGCGCTACAATTATTGCTTTCACTCTGACATTCGCGCTATATAACGCGCGCGTGTCTTTTTCTGCTGCTTTAATTATTTTTATGATTTATTTTTTTTAAACCTTTTTTTTTACACTACTTTTATTGCTATATGGACCCCTAATGTCACCTAGGAACCCCCCAGAGAAGCTGATGAGGCAGAGATCTGCTGCACCAGCTTCTCCCCGACTTCTGCAGCCAGAGAGTGACAGCTGAATGCGCAGTGATAAATATACATCACTTCCTGCATTTGTGAACCGGAGAGGAGATCAGAGGGAGATCATATACTGAGCTCCGGTGACAGAGCCAACGTGGCGGTCCCAGGCCACACATGGCACTGCGGATCTCAAGACTGGTGACTGCTGCGGGGTGCACACCCGCACCTAATGCAAGCGATCGGACGACTACACCGGAACGCTTGTATGTAAACCGCTATCGTTGGTTTACATTTTTGACAGTTTCCCCACTCGTGTGCGCATTGGGCGCCGCTTATGAGTGGGGGTGGGGAGGGACGTTTTAAGACGCCCGCCCGCATCTACATGGTTCCCGTCTGGTCGTTTAACTACGACCAGTGGACGGGAAAACTGATCAATGGATCTACTGGTCAGCACAATCATCTGGCCGTGCTGACCAACGAGTGCCGAAAGGCAAGTATAGCTGGATTTGAGCAAGTAATTACATTTTCCAAACTTACTCTTTAATGCACATTGTGCATGTTAGAGTGCTGCTGCCCAGCTACCACAATGGGGGGCAGCACTCTGTGCGCACACACACAATGCCTTATGTGTTTAAAAACAATGGCTCTACTCACATATAGGGGAAGTAAGATGCTATACAGCACAGGGCTTGACAAAGGGAAATCCCTAAAATATATGTTGCTTAGTGCCCAGCAACCTGACCCAGAAGTAGATGCCAAGCTGAAGTCTATGGATGCATAGGACACCGCAGCTTACGGCTTCAAGCACCCGAATGGGAGGACCATAACTGGCTTGCAGCCTGACCACCGGCACCAGCAGGCTGTAAACACTAACCAGAAGTCATTATTCAGGTGTATCCTAATTCCCTTAAATACATTGAGGGGAATTTATCAAAACTGGAGCAGACAGAATCTGAAGCAGCAGTGCATGGCAACCAGTCGACTTCTCTCTTTAGTTCAGTTAAGATTTGGAAATGAAGGAGAAAAGTTGATTGGTTGACATGCACAGCTGCTCCAGATTTTGTCTGCTCCAGTTTTGCTAAATTCATTGTTTTTATTAAAGTTTTTCACATTTAAGGCATGATTATGGCCCCTGTAATGTTTCAAGCACTGTTCATTCTCTTTGTGCGTTGACATGTACCTGCGTTCTGTTACCCCTGACAACTATAAGCCAGATATTTTAGTGAGTGCAACCCTTGCTGCCATGTCTTTCATCCTCTACCACTGTTAATGCTCTAGGGTAAGCTTGATGGTTCTTCTATTTTGTATTTTTTTTTTTTATCTATAGTTTAGTGTTTCCCCACCTTGCGATATTGGCGCTGCTCTACTGGTGCTTAGGATGAATGTTACCATAACTGATCTAACGCTTGTGACAGAATCAGAACTGAGAGAACTCTTATAGCGGGAAGCCCATCTGGACTGACTTACTTTGTATGCACTTATTTTTATATTTTTTGTTTCCAGGTAGCTGTCAAAATTATAGACAAAACACAACTGAATTCTTCCAGTTTACAGAAGGTAAGCAAATTATTGTGTGTGTATGTATATACGGGGATCACATTTGTCAAAAACAATCCTACAAACAATCATGTATAGTTCTTAAAACAATTTACTTAGATTTAATTCATAATACAAAAACAGAGAAAGAGAAGAAAAAAATACTCATCACACAAACTGCACTTCTGCACCATGTAGTCTCCAGGCATAAACAAAGTGAGAAACTACAGTTGTTTTTTTGTAAACACATGTTTTGTTTTTTGTTGTGTTTTTGCATATATGTATACTTATTTCCATCTTTAATATGAATTAGATTCTTTAAATATATTTACAGCATAATTATGTATATATTGCTTTTTTGAATATATACTTGTCATATTATTTTCTGTGTGTGTGTGTGTATATATATATATCTACACGCACACCTACACACACACACCTACACACACACACACACACACGCACACCTACACACACACGCACGCACACCTACACACACACGCACGCACACCTACACACACACACGCACACCTACACACACGCACAACTACACACACACACACACACCAACACCCACACA